CACATCTGGTTATGCTCTATCGCTGGGCGCGTGTTTCGCTACTGGATCTTGGTATCGACGCAAGTGCTACACGTTGAGAATTTATGCAATTTGGTTCGTGCAATTGGACCCTCCATAGGGTTTTCTTTGTCGAAGTCGACGACTGCAGACTGATGCATAATCTCAATGAAACACCCCTCCCCATTGCTTCCGCAATTAATAGTAAGATCAAAAGAGCACGAGTACGTCTGCAAAAGCACGAGGAAGACGACGCTTAGTGTTACGATGAGGAAAGAATTCAAATGTAATAAAGTTTACCTGTTTAGGAACTTCATCGCCTGTGGATCGGTGCCTTCTTCTCTTACGAGTGGCACAACACTACGCTCAGCACGACGACAAACTGCACGAGCAAACTGCAGATGAGCTGCAGTGGTTCCTCCACCCTTCAACGAAAGACTTCGAGAGACTAAATGCAGGAAAGCTAAGCAATTATCACTGAAGCAGCTAGGAGATACTTACGTATAGAATGAATTGGCGAATGGGAGGCAACTGGTCCGCGAAACGGTCAATCTCTGCATGAATCCATTCCACCATATTGGTATCAATGAAGGTTTTCTCTGTAAAGAACATATCGCCTTTGGAGAAACCGAAATGGAAATTTCAGTTAGTACCACGGTACCTTTCTTCTTTTCGGACGTTGCTTGAGGTGGGGTGGCTATATGGGCCCCAACGTCCTGTAAACAGCACTGAAGTCGAGTGAGAACTTCAACTAGGTCAGGGATGTCGTCAATCGTTGCCAACTCACGACAAACACTGAATGTAAGAAAAAAATAATGTAGAAGAGGTAAGAAACGGCTAAGCGGTACGCTTTCCGTAACCCAAAGGAAATAGCAATGCAGGACGACTAGAGGAATGAAACGAAAATGGTTAATAAGCAATCAGGCTGCGAAATGCCTCCAAGCTTGACGAAACATTGTTTAGTGAAAGGAACTAAACACTAAAGTAAGCGAATGGGTATTCCTTAGGAGGGGGAGTCGTATTTGCTCGCTGTTGGGAAGGGGTCGTATTTGCTTTCCGAGAGAAATTTGCAACGCTGGGAAAAAGTTTCCCGGTTGTTGCTTTCCGCGTTTTTTCCCGTTTCCATGTGCTATATACCCCCCCCACCTCCGACAAACTAGAAAATTTCGGGAAATTTCAGAAATTTGGAAAATGGGGTGGGAGGTTGGGAAAATGTAGGAAAGTGGTAGAGAGGATGGGAAAAAGACGGGGGTCGTATTTTCCGAAGACCTTCCCCAGCGCCAAGATGTGCCTAGGAAAAACCCTGGAAAAAACAACAATACGAAACCGTGAAAAGGGGAGGGGTCGTATAAAGCCACTTTTTAGGCGGGGGCTCACACAGATTTGACCGAAATCCCCAACTTATGAAGTGCCTTGAGGCGAATAACTCACCCGAGCAGGGAGGAGAGCTCGTCAACGTTGCCCAAAGCCATGAAGACGTTATCATCCTTCCAACGGCGTTCATTGTTGAACAGGCTTGATTTCCCAGAATCTCCCGTTCCACGACCTGCACAGGTAATGTCACGAAATGGGTCAAATGACCATGAAATATTCGAAACTGCTTTCAAATTTCCTTTTGAGTGGTAAGAGTTAAAGCTCTGATAGAAATAGAAATTTTATAATCGAAAGAAAAACCTACTGACCTTGCTTGAATCCTCCTCCCATCGTTGGAGTGGTGCTGATAACACGGACGAGGGGCAGCACTCTCGCTGGATGAAGTAAGCAAAGACAGCGTAACGCCATATAACAAAAACGAAAAAGTCTTTTCGTACACACAAAATGGTGCGAACGACAAACCTACAGATGGGACATATGTCTAGAGTCTGTTCCACGAATTTGTTTCTTTTCATTTCAACAATCTTGAAGGAAAAACCCTCATCAACAAGGAATTAAAAAAACCGAAATTCGAGTGGCCTCTGAATGGTATATTCCGAGTTTCGAAGATATGGGTCTACCCACACTGGAAATATCCCCTCTTCTGACTTCGAACCTGTAGTTTTTCCTGACCTTAAGAAACTACGACAGTTATCACTGAATTTCTTGAATTTCTCATGCGAAACGACTCTGAAAACATTTTTTCCCCTTACACTGGTCACGCTGGGGAAACTCGGTAGGGCTCTTTCATCAGTAGGGCGTTTGATGAGCTTGCTTTGGGGTGCTGACCGGACTAGGCTGTAGGCGCAGAGCTAACCGAAAGGTGGTGGGCAACATATTTACCTCGACAACTAGATTAGCATAGACTACCCTCACGTTTCCCAGACCAAGGATATTGCTTCCAGAGTGTGCCAGGAATATAGCACGTTTATGCTCCGCGACACTAGCAATTCAGTAACTGTGATGCCAACTCCTCAGCGTGCTGAAGACTTCAGACTAAACCCCTGAAGCCGCAAAATACCAGTGCCAGGCTGCATTCATAGTTTGCGACTCGCGTTTTCAGAGCATCACCATTCTGAGCAACTCAGCGCCTTGAGCGAGAAGATTAGCATAGGTGCTGATCGGGGCAGGTCGCTAACGTCTAGGGAAAAATTGGCGTTTCGAGCGCTTCAGGAAAACTAGTTTTATGCAGCCAGCCAATACCTATACTAAGCTTTTCGCTCAAAACGCTGCTTCGCTCAAAACGCCGAGCCACAAAGTATGAGCGCAGTAAAAGCGACTTTTCAGTGGAGTTTCGGCGATTCAATGTTAGCGCATATCTTGCTGGAAATTTCTGATACTGGCGGGTGCACATGAGCTGAACACATGAGTTTGCATCGCTCTTTTAGACCTGAGTCGTGCTTCGGTAGCTTCCTCACGCTACTCCGTCAACCTTACAGATGAATATTCGTTTTTCTTTATACTGATCATGATCACGAAAGGACCCTGTTCTATAGAGCAGCGCGACCAACTATCATGAGCGGTAGAACTCTTCATTGCCACCCACCGAGTAAAACGCCTGCATTGCCACAGCCAGCACAGGCGCTTTTTGGTGCCAAGTGGGCGTCAATCACTGAACCCTCATGTCCTCGTTCAGGATCCTATAATGTTAGGGCCCCGATCCTTTTCATTTGCGAGCTGTACGGATCCGCACCTGAAGAATTGCCCCACTTTTGTCACTCGAAAGGGCGCGGAAATGAGGCTCGGTAGTGTTAGCTAGATGCCATTCGGGGCTCCACCTCCCTTCAGGGTCCTCTCAATCTACCTACGTCAAGTAAATACACACTTAAATGGGGCAACCACCGTCATTTGGGATAACGTTTTCGTTGTATAGGATCTATGAGTGATATATTTCATTTGACATTATGCGGAAATACTGTAAATATTCTCCACCAAATCATTTAAACAACATGTACAAGCACTGAGGGGGCGAATAAGTAGCAAAATTTATTGGTAGGTCATAGACCTGTCCAGTAAACCCCACGAACCTGTACCTCTTATAAACATTCATTTAATCAATCTACAAGCCTGATCGAACTACACTGTTAGTTCAGCTCTTTGAGAGTCACCCGGAACAATAAGAAAGAATTATTGAAGAAGTGAAGAAATTATTGTAGAGCGGGAAAACTTGAGGTCTGTGCACATTAGTATCAGTACCTGGCCTCAAATGCAGCGTTGATGGGAGGGGGAACGAACCGCTGAAAAGAGTTGATCGGGGGAAAAACCTCGAGATATACCAACGGTGCACATTATTCGGTGTAAGTATATTTGGGCAATAATAGAGGTTGTTATTAAAGAGAGGTTCCAAAGAAAACTCTAAGACAGAACAGTCCTGAAAATGCTATCGATCAATTATGGAACACACGGACAAAAGGGAAAATGATATAATACAATAGAAGTGAATGACAATAAGCTACAATGAACAACAGACTGAAAGGATGGACCCTGTACGGGGAGAATCTTCGAGTTAACACAATAGAAATACAAATAGTACTTAATAAGAATGCGAATTAAAGCATAGATTGAAGAGTAATCGTTTAATTTAAAGTTCCGCGGCAGTTTGGAGCACCACACAAACAGTCGACCTTGTCCTCTTCGATGGGGAATTTGTAATCGTAGGTTATTTCATCACCTTTGTTGATCAGCGTCTTACTGTATATCACAATACGCTTGTCACCGTCCACCGTAACCACCTCAAAAACAATGATTATATCAGCTTCACCGCAGCAACTACACAGATCACGAAAGGACTCTGTCTACTGGTTTTCTTACTAGCACGCAACTGATGTCAATGGGCTAGTCTCCTGGCGAAGTTTGGCCTCAGACTCAACGCGAAAAGAGACCGAGTACTTGACAAGCGACCCAAAGGGTCTATCAAAATCGATGGCACTGAGCTCACGAAAACATTCAAGTATTTAGAATTTGCCAATTACTTCCGATGGAGGTCTCAACTCGGAAGTGACACTTGTGTAAGTGCAACGCGGTCGAAATGGTGATGCAAGTCTGGGATTCTTCGCATGACAAGAAGATGCCAGAGCGTCTTGAGACGAAGATATATAAAGGTGTCGTTCGACCTGTCGCCTTACACGGTGCTAGTGCTGGCGCGTCACGCTTTGGACCGTATTTGTTACGTTTAATAAGCAGGATGTTCGTATAGCTCTTATAGCTGACAAAATGCGAGATGATCGATGGTACTGCGATGTATTTCGCGCAAAGGTTGGCATCGTTCGTAAGGCTAACTTCCAGCTTGTGGTGCCTGGAAAGCGGCTTAAGGTGCGTGCCAAATAGTGTTGGTTCGATGCGCTGAATACATACCTGAAAAGAGCTTGAATCCACCCTAACCAGTCATTCAATGGGAAAAAGTGGCGTCATCATAGAAGAAGAGCGGACCTTACCACCGAGCAGGTAACTAACGAATAAGAAGAAGAAGAAATGATGTCAAAGGGCAGAAGGACATTGTGGCGGGAGGAGCCATTCCCGATTGTGGCGGGGGAGGGTCGGAATCCAACTCGTTTCTTCCTCTACGGGTGCTTAAGGAGGCACAAACCAGTCTACGAAACGTAAATCCAGCTCATCTTCGAAAGCTGTAGCAGCACATAAGAGGCGTATTCAAGAAAAATGAAAGCAAAGAAACGCAAATAGAAGGTAAATACAAACTTTCGCGTAACAGTTGGGTTGACAGGAGTGGTTTATGAAACGAGCAAAGTTTCCCATACGAGTGGCATCGATGACCTGAAAAGTATATATAAACTATCCTTGTTTACAACAAAGTACATAAGGAGAAATCACAACCGAGAAGAAGATATGAAATCGTATACCAAACAAATGAGTAGGCTCAATGTGGCCCAAACAAAACCTCGGAACTCTTGCAAACGCAACTCCATGGAAGACAAAGTGGGGCCCGATGATGCTTTCAAAGAAATTATCCACACCTTTCTGCCAAGTATTTCAGTGGCAAAGATCCGGAAATCCCTCACCGGCTTTGTCATGATGTAATTTCACATACCCTGATTACCAAAAGTCCAAGACTGATCCTTCATCCAAAAATGAGATAACCAGCAATAACTTGCAGAACTTACTGTGGTATCATCAATCCGGAAAAGATAACTGCTACCGATCCCTCGTCGCTCGTAGGCTTTCTCACGCACGTCTGCCACCGTATTCCGCACCTTGAATTTTAATATGTGAAAATGTGAGATCCAAAAACCGTTACAGTAAATAAAAAAGGCCAGATGCCGATAAACGGACCTTACAATTAAAAAAATGAATTTTTCAAAGGCCAAACAGTTAATTAAATGAAGCAGAAAAAGGAAAGATAGTTTCAAGCGCTAACCTTCTGACCCACATATTCCACAATCATGTCATCTGGCGCAATTGCCTCCATTGCGTACAATCCCCAACCATGGATTCGCGATCGAGCAAATTTGATCATCTTCTTGCGATACTGTAATTGAGTGCATAAAAGAGGTGAAATTATGTAAAAGGCTACAAAAGTTTGCTCAAGTAAGCTTGCTTCTGAAAAGAGGCCACTGAACGGGGAGAGAGGCTCCACAGATAGGCAGCGTTCAGACTTCGTGATAATTGCGCTTCGGTGCGCGTTCGACGCGATCGGTCGCGCATGCTTTCGACAGCGTCGATCGCGTGACCGAAGCGCTGCCGTCGCGAAGTCTGAACGCTTACGCTGCAGTCGTATTCTGACCCAACCCCGGCAAGAAAGCCATGGATCGGACTTCTAATGAAGTTTGGACGAACTGAGAAATACGCACCTTCAACTGGTTCACTTTGAAGAAATCTGCATTTGTGTCGCCCATCGTTGTCAGCAGTCGACGATGCATCGAACGCGATTCCTTGGTCAGCACGAGATTGTGACGCACGGCAGCTTCGTCCTACCAAAGGAGTTAGTAAAACAGGTGAAAATTTACCAGAACATCAAAAATAGTTTCAAAATTTTTAAAAAACGGACTCGATCATTCAGCAGCGTCTTGTCACTTTGACCATCTTCCGGTCTTCTAATCAGACTTCCTTTTTTCCTTCATCGACATCTTAAAGTAACCGCGTGTACGAGCACATCCATCTTTGATCGGCAAGATGCCATCGAGTTCCTGGTCCGCAAAATATTGGTCCAAACGCCCTCTCTTGATCGGTTTATCCTAAAATTACATTCCTATGATTAGAGCACTACGTACACAGTTGAAGATGCTTTTCGTGCATTTGAGACTGGACGAAAGCCGAATTCAGACCAACCAGAAGTCGCGGTTTATCCGCCCACCACGTGAAACTGAACCGAACGGGCTTTGCCCATGGCGTCGGAACACCATTATCGGTGGATGGCTGCAATACCGAGAGCGCTTGCTGTAGGTACTCTTGATCTTCTGGATCGAAGCAGCACTGGAATCAGCCGAATTCATCTTCTCAAACACAATTCAAAAAAACGAGCGAAACATGATAAACACTCACATCCCACTGATTAATATGCCTGATTTTATCAACCAGAGACCAAGGTGGATACGATCTGCAAAAGCATAATGAAGGAAAGACGGAATGGATTCAGAAAAAAAACAAACTAGAAAACCCTTAACAAAACGAACATCTGCGGTTTTGGCTTAGGCGGAGCTTCAGTTGCCGAGAAGAGTCCCAGAAGCTCTCTGTCGTGTTTGCTAAGTCGTCCTTTCTTCGCGACCACCGGCTCTTTCTTTTGCTAGATATACGGCCATATTTTACACAATCACGGATCCCGGCAATTATATAAAAAAATTCGATGGCGAAAAGGCAGCTAGTGAAACTTGCCGCAAGGAAGGGTAAAAAAAGAAACGTTACAAAAAGTTGCTCGGTACCTTCTCTTGATTTTCGCTCTCTTCTGCCTTCTTCTCCTCCCCTGGTAGCTTGAAATAGCAATGTTCCGTGAGGTGAGTATGGTACAGCGACCGTGGTAGTGAGTCGGACCATTCTGTCGACTCTTCAGACAACTAAAGTCCGTCAGATGAGTAGTGAGATACAATTTAGAATTTTTTTTTCATAAAATGAATTACATACAATCTTTCGCCACAAAGGAACTTCTTCTTCCTCTTCTCTGTCGACTTCCTTGACTGGCGACTGAGAAACAGCCACGGATGGCTCTTCCGTAGCAGTGGAAACATCGCGATCTTCATCCTCACTTGGAGGAGAGCTTTCAGAAGATGACGCTACGCTTGACGCTGTGGAAACTGCAGTAGAACCTGCCGGCGATATCCGCTTTCGGACTGGAATGAGAAGTTTGGGACTTTTCTCTCGTTGAAACCTCACATGCACCTCACTCAAATAAAAAAAAGAGGATCTTCAATTTAAACACTTTTCAACTTACGTGATCTGGTCGACTGTGATGATTTGCTTCGAGACGGCTCATCTTCGTCAGAAGAAACCTCACTTGAAGAACAAGACCTGATAAAAATCAGACTTATCGGATTCATCAAAAAAAAATCGAAACTCGTAACCAACTCTGATTCGATGGAATCAGTGGATCGTGATCTCGCAGCGCGCTTCTTTGCTTTGAGGACAACTTCGTCAGACGACTCAGTTTTTTGACTGCTTGACGAGCTGGAACACTGTTTTGAGGGTAGTAAATACCACACTCCTAATAGGCGACCTAAGCGATTCCCAAATCGCGTGAGGCCTCTTAGCGCGCCCTACTACTAATAGTTGAGTCGATGAAATCGCCACTCCCACCGCATTCAAGAGAGAACTTCTTTCGAGCGTTTCGGCTCTCGATCGATTAGCCGTGAAGGCTGACCGAAGCGGCGCGTTTCTAGAATCGCGCGTATGGCAAAGTATGTACGCGGGCTGACCGTTCTAGTGAATAAGATAGGAATTGAATCTTGAATACAATGACGAGGGTAGGGACAGTATGACAGTAAATCGTAGTGGATCAACATCGTCTGAGGATTGGTAGCACATTCTGCGGGGTTTGTTGGCCATAAATACCGCGAACCGTGAGATAAATGCCGATATTACTCGCCCAACTAATTGCTATGGATATCTGTAGGCAGGAATGAAGTAGAAATACTTAATATTCAGTGATTACATGGGCAAAAGCGTACATAAAAAAGTGCTTGCTTCTTGCATCTCCCAGTTCGCTATGGAAGAAATGAATCTTCAGAAAAAAAACAGTGGGAAAATAAAAAAAAATTAATGAGTCTTTTAAAAATGTTAGTGGGAGGTTTCAGGAAACTAGCCCGTCTCAGTTTACAAGTATGACCATCCCTATAAAAGGCTTTTCCCCCATTCTTTCGATTTTCTTTCTACAAAAATCTCCCTAGCTTCAAAGATACATATGCTATCTTACTTCCACATAACACAAACAGCTTCATGTGGTAAACAGCAGACATCATAACTAAGGTGGTAGCTGCTTTGGGCCACATTAATATGTTCCGAAGGGGGAGGGGCAAATTGCAATGATTCCGAAATTGTCGCCAAAATTTCTCATAACATTCTGCACGATATCTATGATCATCGAACTTGTATCGTACCTTTTTTGAGCAGCATCAGAATCATCCGAGTCGCCTGAACCGCCTGAATCGACGCTGCGCCTTCGGCTCACTGGACTTTGCGAGGCTTCAGACTCTGGAGATGGCGGCCGTACTTTCTAAAGCAGATGAAGATGACAATCATAGCATACCAGGAGAAGCTGGAGCTTTCCTCCGCTTATCACGGTGAAAATTCCACCTAAGAACTTCCCAAAAACTCAAACTTCAACCTGTTCTCAAAAGGGTTCCTAATGGGAAAGCGTGTCAAGTACGAGAGCAGATTGCAGAGCGCGATGCAACTTCCTAGTGGAAAACAATTTTCGTTTATTTTTTTCAAAAGTACACATTAACTACACCTTGAAAAAGCAACTCCATTTCTAATGCGTTTAGTTACTCCTTGATGAAATGCTGCCTTATTCTTAGTATCCTTAACGCTTTTTAGAAGCTTAACGATTCTGTGGATGATTGACACTCGGAAAACAGTCGCTTCTAGCAACAGATGATGCCGAAGACTTGCTTTTTGCCTGCCACGCAATAGTGCTCTTCGACTTTTCATTTTCCATTTAGGCTGTATTTGTGACAAAAAATTCATATTTAGCCAGAAAAAAAACACCATCATAAAGACAGACGCTAATCTAGTCATGATGGGTGGGTAAGTTGAATAACAGTGCAAAGCACTTTTGTGTACGCTAAGGTTCAGACGGCGTCCAGCGACGCAACAGAACGGTAAAAGATGTTTGAGGTGCACTATGCGAGAATTTCACCGCAACTGCTAGTCTGCCAACTGGCGTTTTTATAGAAATTCTTGAGGAAAATACAGTTGGAAAGGAAAAACCAATAAATTGAGGTAATTGGCGTAACATAGATACACAGAAGCTCACCCTTTTGAAGCTAGGTAATTTCGGCATATTGAAGGTGAACGGAAAATTTCCGAGTTTCTCTGGGGTAGCATTTAGACTCTGAAACATGCGCACATTCACGCACAGTATGTTCCTTGATATGAGCCAAGCAGAAAAATACAAAGCTCCACTCACTGCAGCCAGAGGACTACATAGCTGAGACACGTCGCTAGGTTTCTCTTGCGTGACGATTTGGGCTTGTGCGCGTAGGGCTTCTTGGGCCTGTAAATACAGAATGAACGCCAACTGTGGCTATGGATGACCTTGCTACTCAGGAAGGAATTCAATTATCAGCTTGCCTCGTTCCGCTTCTGCTCTTCCAGCTCGTGGCGAATCTCAGCGAGCACTTCCTCAAGTATCTCAAAGCTAACACCTTCAATACGCTTGTAGAAGTCTTTTGTGATTACGTCGACGATTTCTTCGCCTATGATCTTTTCAGTAGCTTCACGTACAACGTTCACATTTCGCATGAATCGCCTCTGAATTGAAAGGAAAATTATGACAGTTTGTGCGTCTGAAATCAAAAGTCCTTATAAAGGGTGTGGGTGACTTAAAATTTATATCAGAGGACCATTTTGAAGACATATTTTACGACTAAAATCTTAGGCAGTGTGTCTCATAGGAGAATTCGAAGGAGAAAACAGAGAACTCTTCAAAAATACTCAAAATGAGGCCTGGATGGTTTCCAGCTTTGGAATAATACACAGTGTACATAGTGCAGTGAACAGAGGCGCAAAGACGCTCGTCGCGAAGGAGAAAGAGCAAACAGAAATTCTGCAAAAAAGACGCGGAAGTGGACGAGTGGCCAATGGAAGGGGCAGAGCCTAATGTAACAGTGAAAAAATGCCAGAGCCTAAAGTAACAATGCCTTGAGTACATTGTCTATGAGTACATTCGTTTTGTAAAGAATAGACATGCATAGAACGAGGCTGAAAGGAGCTATAAAAACTTGAAATTCGCATGAATTTGAAAACAAACTGGGCGGGGACGTATCTATGTCGGTGTCGGTAGTAGATAAGTCCCTTTTAGGTTGTGTGCATTTGCAAAAGCGCAAAAAAGTCACAGTAGTAGAATTTATAAAACGTTTTTGAAACGGTTTTAAAAAAAAACATGACCGCGCCGGAAAGTGGGCGGGGTGTTAGGGCGGGACCTGCAGCAGTACCTAGCGTGGTCTAGTTAATTAGTGGTCCGATGAAAGAGGTGTGCGCACTTGGTTCGAAAAGTGTCCATTCCAAGATCAAAATGGTATGTAACCGTATGCAACTTTTCTAAATACGCAAAAGTAGTCATAAAACAGACCAAAGAATACGATCAAAATCTAGACCTAATTCCGACTGTGGTCACAATATGGCACAAAACTGGTTGAATTTAGCAGGAACACAGGCCCAGTAGCCAAAATGATGTTTCCTAAGCATGAAATTGTTAAGTTTCTGCGTTTAACCTGATAGAACATGAAAGTACAGTAGGGTGAACGAAGAGAACTTTCATGAATTCTCACATAGGGCACACCATGGTAGTGCATTCTTCAGCGATAAAAGTCGCATTTGAATAGCTTAAGAAGATTGGGGACGTATTTTGGTAGCAATCAGAACAGAAATTTCTCAAGACACTTCTCCAAAAAAGTGATATTCTATACTTTAGCCCGCTGCAGATGCAGTGGATGAAGGGACACGCAGTATGAGTGTGTCAAGGCGCCAAACTCAGGTCGCACGAAAGTTGGGGCAACACAAGCTGCGGGGGCGACGAGTCGTGTTAGAGTTTGTTGTCCGGGTCGTGTAAACTAGATAAATCCCGGTTAGATGCCGTTGCGCAGTTGCCAAAGAGCGCAAAAAATGTTACCAGAGTAGATATAGGCTTGTATAAGACGTTTTTGAGGACGGGGGGTGTTTTTGAAAAATGCGGATGAAAGGCCGCCCGGAAGAGTGGCGGGGGGCGGGGGTGTGTGTGAGTGTGGGGGCGGGGCAGCCTTGCTGCGGGAGGTGGTGTAGCTAGGGCGGTGGTGGCTGAGGGGTTGGAGTGTGGTGCGCGCAATGAGGGAGGAGGGGGTAGGTGGCGCATTGTAGTTCGGAAGAAAGGTCGGTGTTGCCGAGAGACCAGGAAAGTTGTGGTATAACCGGTGAGGGGGTGCAAGCGTGTGGCGTAATAGCCAGAACAATAGTCAGTGAAAGGTAAGACCAAAGAATGAGAAGTAGCGAGCAAAATGCGTGGAGACGGCTTAAGTTCCAACTGTGTTCACAAGGTATGTACGAAAACCTTGGGGTTGATTTAGGCGGGGAGAGAACACAGGGGGGACCAGTAGGCCAGGAAACGGTGATGTGGGGTTGCGCGCAAGATGAAAGTGTAGGTTTTGCTTACGGTTTAGCCTGATAGAACCCGAAAGTACAGCTACGTGAACGAACGAGAAATTCATGAATTGCTTAGCAGCGGCACACGCGATGGGTAGTCATTCTTCTCGATGAAAGTCGCATTTGAGAATGCGGCGTTGAAAAGATTGGGACGTATATTGCGGGTACGGGTCAGAAGAGCAATTCTCAAGGGACAGCTTCTCGCAAGAAGTGTCGATACGTCGTACGGGGAGGTTTAGGGCCCCGCTGCGGATGCTTGTGGATGAAAAGACACCAGTATGAGTGTGTCAGATGGCGCCAAACTCGCTCTCTCGTGCCGCCGTTGCTGAAGGCGGCGTAAGCAGTGACAATAAGGTAAAATCAGTGATACGATGATAATGATAGCAGTCTTGCCCACTTTGCTCGCCGTTCAACAGACTGGTGCGACGACGGGGTTGCACAGCGCGGCAAAACATCCCATGACTGAGCAGCGGCCCTTCGGCGACTCAGCGACAGGGTAGCGAGCCGCAGAAGAAGGCGTCATGGCTCAACGACCGAACCACCGCCCTGGTCGCCGACGGGTTAAACCACATTGTAGGTAGTGGAATAGGGTGGGATGATCTCATGATTTGCTCGACAAAGACCGAAAGCGGGGCTTAAATACATCCTCGGCGCCGCACAAGCAGGATATGGTCGTCCCTGGCCAGGTAGTCCTAGCCTTCCGAAGCTAGAGACGTAGCCCCACTCGCGCGGACTCCACATCAGCGAGGCAGTGGGCCCTACAGCGCTGGAAAGGTGGTCCACTACTCTAGCGAGCCGCCTTTCTAGATGCTACGACGAGAGGCCCGTTAGTGCTCGGTGTGGGCGGCGGGTCGATAAACTGGAGGATTCGCGATGCCCTTTGTTCGCCTGACGCCGCGCTTGTGCCCATAAGTAATTCTCCTCTTCCTTATTACGTTTTATTCGACTATAGGAACACAGTACAGTAAGCTGCAACCCCATTATCTAGGTAACGGTAAAACGCGTAAAAAATCCACCGACGCAATTTCCGGGCTGAAAAAGCTCGACATGCCACCGAGTTTATTTTTTTGATTCTCTTTTTTTAGCGTGTCTTTCGCTCCGTGATTCTGTGGTTTTCCGTATATATCTTCTTGTGCACGGATGATAGACCGCGTAATTGGCGAGGATGCGATAAAACGATTTGGAGCAGCGGCGTTCCACGAGAGGATCGCAGCCGGTCTGGACTGTCAGGGAGGCGATTTTGTGTCACTAGTGTTCTTGAGGACTCTCTTTGCGCTCTTTTCTTCCAGCCTGAGGAGGGACTAGCTTGATCAGCTTACTGTTTCACAGACGTAGAGCAGACTAGCACGACGACTTGGTATCGCGGGGAGCCTGTCTGTACTGCCCACAAACAAACAGGACTCGGGGCTAAATTGCAGTTTCTTAGCTCGCGAGGCCACGGAGACGGCGTATGAGAGTAGGCGCTGCCGAAAGCGCTAGATTCCGCTGACCAACTTGGGGGGGGGGAGCGAGAGGGGCGGGAAAAACAACGGAGCATGAGCTCTGAAAACAGTGCTTTCAATGTCCACGAAAGAGTCTTGTACAAGCTATGCTGCCAGAAGGCAATGGAGCGTTGGGTTGGAGTGGACAGGATTCGATCCGATCCGGCGCGTCCCGGAATGACATTTCACGAATCGACATATCACTTTACCAGCGAGTAAGAGATATAGGGAGTAAGAGAATGGAAAGGAAAAGCATATAAGCATTACGATAGAATAGTTTTTGTGCATGGAATGAAGTCCAAGTCTGTTGTGTCTTTAACAAATCACACAGTCCTAGAAATATCTCATGTGTGTAACTAGTACCTTGTCTCTGTCAGAAGATCTATCTTTTCCTCTTTGACGCATCTTCCTCTGTTTAGCTCGCGCGTGGGTCTTAGGACTCTGAGAAGTGGATGCTCCAGGAGGTGGGGATATCGAAGAACCCACATCGACATCCATATCATCCAAATCATCACAGGCAGCGCTGGTTGATCTGAAAACACCCGGCATGACGTCGCAGAGAGGATATCTATTCGAAGTAAAAGAAAAAAATAACATACGCAGCTCGAGGAGGCGTTGTAAACCCTCTTTGGGAAGTGTTTGATGAGCCCAGAAGTGCATCACCACCAAAGATGCTTGCAACTCGATCAGCCAAAGTTTGCTGTGATGATGCAGATGATGTAGTTGGACGTGGCGAGCAATCTTCGACAAATCGCAAAGCCACCCTCGGAAATTCCCGCTGAAATATTTTTGAATTTTTCGAATGATAGACAATTTTAATGAATTTTCGAAGTAGTATCCACCTTTGGGTAAATATGAGTTTGAGGTGGAGGAAAACCTGGCGGCGGCGGAGGTAGAAGAGGATTGAAAGGTGGAGCTCCAACGAAAGGAGGATTTACCTTGAAAACATGAAAAAGGTAAAGTCTAAAAATATTTAATTCATACTAGAAAAAACTAACTCTTCTTTCTTCTTCGGTGGGAAAAAAAGGAAAAAAAAACTCAGTGGAGAAAAAAAACTAACATGAGGCATAGGGAACGGTGGAGGAGGTAGATGTGTTGGCAGTAGAGGAACCGGTGCACCAGGATGAGGGACAGGCATGTTTACAGGCGGAGGAGGTCCAGCTTTTGGAGGCCCAACTTCAACATGAGGTAGTTGTTGAGGAGCTACATAACTGGGGCTCACAAATACGCTTGGAGGCGGAGGTGGTGGTACTATCAAAGATGCTGCAGGTTGTGAAGTTGATTCATTGAGCAAACCCGATGGCGGTACTTTCTCCGTCTTCTGAAATGAAACTGATGAAGTCGCGGCCGTATCGGGACACTGGTGAAGGATGTGTACCTTCTCCTTCGCATTCTTTTGCTCCCCATCGGATTCAGTAGAGCTACTGCTCCACCGATGAACCTTCGAACTTCTTGTCCTTGTCCTTTTCAGCACCTTTCGCGGCTGCAGCAGTCCTGAAAAGACTCGCTTTGACGAGCTGGAAGACGTTCTCGTCAACGATTTGGTTTCTTGACAATGCGCTGCTTCGAAGTCTGGCATGGTAGCTGTACTGTAGCAGCTCAGGCAGATCCATTTGGGCTAGAATACATATCCAAGCGCAATTCGGCGACCAGGAGGGGAGGGGCCGTTTTGCACCTCTGCTGCTCCACTAGTTCCGTTTTACAAGTCAGTGAATTCTGTGAACCCTTGTGAAGCTGAATCAGCTTGCCTAGTCACCACGGTAAATGGTATATGTATGGTTTTTCATTGCTTCTCGAATTTGCACACAAATTTTACGTGTACTTTCACTATTGCAGAAATACAGAACTCTATAAAAAGATTATAGCCATTAAGATAAAAAGGATAAAATCTTCGCCGTTAATCAATCCCTTTGTGGGATGCGGCACGCATTCTACTTCCATTCAGAATCGTAGTGGCTTATTGAATGCGATGTGGCCTATACAATGACTTGCGGGGGCCAGCCGATGTACAAATTCGTCTGGGAGGGGTTTCGTCTGGGAGGTGAATCTGGTATCAATTTACCATTCCAGGAGGTAGAAGGGCTGGTTGGTCTGGGCGAGAGGTCAAATCCCAAGATTCGAACCCGAGTCAAACGTGCAGTTGTCAACAACATGCTGGGAACAGCAACGAATATGTGCACAGGGGACGCTGAGCGTCAAGAATCACGACGCATAGCATGTGAGATAGCTGCTATGAACAGTTATACGATAGCACAACGTCCTGGTCGGCAGCGCAGCAGAAATGTGCGAGAAGGTCGCCGGACGACAAACAGACTACCGTTATGTCTTCCTTTAATCTGCGATGCGATAGAACCGCAATACAGCGGAGTACTGTTAGAGCACAGCTGCAAGATGTTGTTCAGTTCGTAAACATCCCTAAGGCCGCGTTCATAGCTTGCGTTCGTGAAGAAATGCAGAAATGCGGAAAATGCAGAAGTGCGGAAAGTGCAGAAGTGCGGAATCTGCAGAAAAGCAATAGATACTTATCGACTTGAAGAAATGCAGAAATGCCGAAAGTGAAGAAGTGCGGAATCTGCAGAAATGCCGAAAGTGCGGAAAATCAATACGTATCGGTTGCTTTTCTGCAGATTCCGCACTTCTGCAGTTTCGGCATTTCTGCAGGTTCCGCACTTTTTCACTTTCGGCATTTCTGAAGATCCGCCATATCCTTCACTCTCGCGGCAATCTGCATTTCTTCAAATCGATACGTATGTAATGCTTTTCGTCATTTCTGCACTTTCCGCACTTCTGCAGTTTCGGCATTTGCATTTCTTCAAGTCGATAAGTATCTATTGCTTTTCTGCAGATTCCGCACTTCTGCATTTTCCGCATTTCTGCATTTCTTCACGAACGCAAGCTATGAACGCGGCCTAACGGCAACATCAAGCAGCAACTGGTTCGAAACAGGCTCTACGATAAATAGTGCATATCAAGAGATTGTGTCATCTGTCCACACGGCAGATTTGGTGATTGCGCAAAATTAGGTGTGATCTACCAAATAGAATGCCAGTCGTGTGGATACACATATATCGGAGAGACGGGAAGACCGCTAGGTGTACGAATAAACGAACACCTAACTGGTATGAGGCGGGGTCGGCTCACGACAGCGCTGGGTAGACATAAAAGTGAGGAGCATAATGGCGACAACTTCGAGATCAAGTGTATAATATTGGCGCAGGAGACGGAAATTTCTGCAAGGAAGGCGTTGGAGGCGTTTTGGATTTCCAGCAGGAATCCTAGGATGAACAGCAGAGATGAGTGTCCGTCAATAGCTAATGACTTTTTGCCGTTCATGCCATACTGCGAATTATAAGTAGCAGTGTTATGAGTGTCTTCTTAACGTTATACGTATAAGGAGACGCTACAGTAGGTCTCATTCACTACTGAACCTGGTGCTTTTCGTATTCTGCAGAATTTTCTTGTTGATCGAACACATCATCGGAACTGCTAGGGTTGGTTGGGCGCTTGGCGGGGTAGTGTTCATTTCCTTAACTCGAAACGCGTTTAGGCCTCTGAAGAAGACGACCACGTCGAAACGTTAGGCCATCCTTACATTCTATAAACCACTAACTTTGTGTGTCGGTTTGTCGGTATGTATATGTATGTATGTCGGTTTGTATGTCTGTCCGTCCGCAAAATGCTTTACGGGATTAAACACGTTAGTGAAAGAAGAAAACGACCGCTAGCCAAACCGGGAACCCATCGGTGCAGATGTATCAATCCAATGTTTTGATTGTGATAACAGCATATATAAGACAACCACTCGGTACACTCCGAGCCATTGCACGAGCTGCTGCCGTGGCAGCTGGACGTGTGCTCGTGCGGGGGCAGGGTGGGGGTGCCAGGTCGCCCTCCTTCTCCTGCATGTGCTCAGCCGGAGCTGAGCACATGTATTGGAGGGAGGCAGAGGGAAGGGGTCGCGGGGAGAGGGGGGGGGGGGTACAGTGAGGGGGCGTA